GGACTGAGTGAGACCAGCCAGACACTCTCTGGAGCCTTCCCACAGTTCCTCCCTGGCTGGCCAACCTCTCGTGTCTCTCCCCAGCCCAGATTGTGCACCAGTGGGGTCCCTTGGCTTGGCCTGTGCCCTCTCACAATCTGGGACCCCTTTGGGTGATGTCAGAGAGCCAGTTTGTTTGATCCCGCAAGCCAGGCCGAGTGGCCCCACTGGTGCACGAACTTGTGTACCGGGCCTCTAGTCAAATTATAAGTCACCTGATAATACTACTCAATGTCATTACTTACTATATTAATCAACTAGTCTGGCAATATATATCAAATTATAGAATTACTGTCAATTATTCCACTCAAAACTTAATGCATACAATTGGCTTATTTCATTGAGATCAAATATATATTTTCATGCCTGGCTGGTGTGGCTTAATGGTTGAGCATCAACCTTTGAACCAGGTGGTCAAAATTGATTCTCAGTCAGGGCACATACCTGCTTGGGTTTGAGGCTCAATCCCCAGTAGGAAGCGTGCAGGAAGCAGCCAGTCAATGATTCTCATCACTGATGTTTCTTTCCCACTTCCCCCTTTCTCTCTGAAATCAACACACACACACACACACACACACACACACACACACACACACTTAAAAAACAGTTTCCTTAGCTTTTCTTCCAATATTCTGCTTAGGTTAGTTACCCTACTATCATGCACAAACATTGTCAGATCCTTCAAATTCAGTCTTTAATTTTCATTCAGGTATAAGGAGGCATACACACACACACACACACACACACACACACACACACACACTTATTCAAGGAATCAGGGAATGTATAGTATAAATATGTACAGCAAACATTTCATTTTTTTCTAACTAAAAACTTCATTGTCTACTCCATGTGCAAAGAAATTTTGCTACTTATGTTCCCACTTCACTTTGAAATTACACTATCGGAAACTTGAATAGAAAACATTCTTAATTATGAAAAGGGCTGGGGTACTATTTGTTGGCGGTCAAAATCTGGAGACCACCTTTTATATTCTCTGCCATAAAATTACATGTAAAACAGAATCCAGCTGGGGTTGGTTTGGCTCAGTGGATAGAGCATCGGCCTGCGGGCTGAGGGGTCCCAAGTTCGATTCCGGTCAGGGGCATGTACCTTGGTTGTGGGCACATAACCGGTAGGGGGTGTGCAAGAGGCAAGTTGTTGATGTTTCTCTCTCATCGACGTTTCTAGCTCTCTCTCTCTCCCTTTCTCTCTGTAAAAAATCAATAAAATATATTAAAAAAAAAAAAAAAAAAAAGCACTTAGGAAAAGTGGCTATTGGGAGGAATAAATGAAGGTTGCAGTGTGCTGTAAAATGGCCAATGGCATTTGTAACTTTTTCTTTGAATTAAGATTGCATTTTTCTGGCTTTGCTTTAGTAATCACATTACTTACAAGTCAGCAACATTATGGTTCCTATAGATGTCTTGTCAACTATATCATCCTATTGAGGGAAATTGTCCAAAACCAAATTTTAACACACCATCTGATAACTTCCTGTGTACAAGGTCTCAGCTCATAGTTTTTTTTTCTTTTTTTCAATTATTATTTTATTGATTTCAGAGAGGAAAAGAGAGAGCATCACGGATCGGCTGACTCCTGCACAGCCCACACTGGGGATCGAGCCCGTAACCCGGGCATGTGCCTTGCCTGTAATCAAACCTGGAATACTTGTCTGCAGGCCGGCGCACTACCCAATGAGCCAACCCAGCCAGGGCATCATAGTTCTTTATTATTAGGTACTAGTGACTGGTACAAGGAACTGTGCACATTGAAAGGCAATTAATTAGAAGGTGGCTGGCAGGACAGGACTGGGTGAGACAGGCCTGACTTGCCCTGGAGCCAACCTCCTGTGGTCTGCCCCCACTGCTGTGACTCAAAGGGCATCTGTGAAGTGAGTGGGTCCCTCTGGCCTGGCCTGTGGAGAATAGGCCAAAATTGGCTCCAACATCCCACAAGGGGTTCTGGAGTGCGAGGGCACTCTGCAAAGTTAGTGTTGTACAGGTGGTGGAATGCAAACACTAAGTGTACAATAAACCAGACTTGGGGCCAATAGTGCCCCAGCAACATAACCCACAGCCAAAGGTGGAATTGGGCTCCTTCCTCCCTGGTTTCGAAGTGTTGTTACCCGAGAACCATTGCTGCCAAGTAACTGCAGTGCACCAGCTCCTGGTCTGCTCTTTGATGGTCAGTGCACATTATAGCAATCAATCTGATAGACAGCATGTTAGCCTTTTATATATATAAAAGATAAGGAAATCTCCCAGGATATGTTTTCCTATAAGTCATATTTACAAGATGGAAAATGTTTGGATAGAAAGCAAATCTCAGTGTATACTATACAGATTAGGTTTGAGATTTTCAGCACCACATACACAATCTAACACTGCAGACTGTTTCTAACTCAGTGTTTCATCCTCTCAATAAACACAAATGCTCCTTTAGGGGATATGTGATATAGAAATTATCATTTTGTAATTACATAAAATTATCTTAAGAATAGGCTACCTTAAAAAAAGAAAAAAATAGCCAGGTTAACTAACTTAGCCCCTATCACAAAACATCAAAGATTTAAAGAACCAAGGATATCAAGGCTCCCTCTTATCCTTTTTACCTTGGCCTAAGTTTCAAGAATGGAGTATGGTAAGTGCTGAACTGACCTGAACAGATAGAAGCAAATCTTTAAAACACAAATACTGTTTTTCACTCAAATTTGAGTCTTTTGGTTCTGTTACTTAAAAAAAGGGACCTTTAATATGAGTTATGTACGTATGTTTCAGATTACCGAAAGGAACATTTATCAAGCCCTCTTGTGCCAAATACTTTAGTCAAAAACCTGTAGTTATAGAATTGTCCTCACCGGTTTGGCTCAGTGGCTAGAGCGTTTTTCTGTGGACTGAAGGGTCCCAGGTTAGATTCCAGTCAAGGGCATGTACTCTGCTTGTGGGCACATCCCCTATAAGAGGTGTGCAGGAAGCAGCTGATTGATGTTTCTAACCCTATCCCTCTCCCTTACTCAGTAAAAATCAATAATATAAAAAAGTATTTAAAAAACACACACAACCAAACCAAACCAAACCAAACCAAACCAAACCAAACCAAACCAAACCACTATAGTTACATAATTGAGAAAACTGAAGATCAGTTGACCCTAACCAGTTATTTGGTGGAATTAAACTTCAAATCAAGGACTTCCCCTTCTATGTATACTGTTTTTCCTCAGTACAGAATAGTACATAATGGTTCAAAACTATCTAAATTTCTAAAAAGCAGTTTACTTTTTAAAATATATTTTGATTTTTTTAGAGAGAGAAAGTAATAGGGAAAGTTAGAAACATTGATGAGAGGAACATCAATCGGCTGCCTCCTGCACACCCCCTACTGCGGATGTGCCCGCAACCAAAGTACATGCCCTTGACCGGAATCAAACCTGGGACTTTTGAGTCTGCAAGGCTGATTTATCTACTGAGCCAAACTAGTTAGTGCTAAAAAGCAGTTTACAATGAAAAGCACTTTTAATAGTTTTCATGACCCTAACAAATTGTCTATAAGCTTACTAAAATGACTTCATTTAATAATTCATTAAAAACACACACCTTTCTTCAAATGGTGCTCGTTATTAAGTGAAATGAAATTCAGTCTCAACATGTTCTCAAGTTAACTTTAAGCAAAAACAGTGTCAGTGATGATAAATGCATCTCATTTATTTAGATGTTTAAGCTCTCGCACTAAATTTTTACAAGCTGGTGAACACTGACAAATTATTTCTCCCACAGAACTATAACCACACATTCCCAAACAGTATAAATATATGGTTGAACTAACATCAATACACATCACCATTTTATCAATTACATAATAAAACAAATTATCAAGTATCCAAATATTAAGTTACACAGCTCAAAAGGCATATAAAATATTAGATGTCTGCTCAATTCATTAGCAGAAACCCATTTTTTTTTTTTTGCAAGAGGGTGGGAAGGAAAAAAAAAAATCACACTTCCAAACAAAAATAAGTTGGTAAACTTCAGAATGTATGAAAAAAAAAAAATACAAGAATTCAGAATTTTTAATGATTAAGAATCATTTCAGCTACAACAAAGCATGTCTACCTTTAAAAAAATATTTACCAAAGAGCATATTCTACATGTTCCACACAAGACAAAGGCAACATCTTACTAAAAATACTTAATAGCCCCCTCTCATTCTTTCCTCAGGCCCTCCCTATAAGTTGCACATTAAGTGCAAACATTAAAATTAACTGTAAGGCTTTTTGTCTGGAAACATTAAAGACATGTGCTTCTATACAATGTAGATTTTCAAAATGGAGGCTTTCCATAACAGCACAAAATGAGACTTATAGAAAGACATTAAATAATAACCAAGACTTTGTATAAAAATCAAAAAGTTGAGCAAACCTGATGTATACTTGTATGAATGTGGGAGATGTAAACATAAAGTGAGCAGGCAAACAATCACATATAGGCCCTACTTTCTATGTTTGAAATGACTGAAGGGATAAACCACATAAGGTCCAGAGTGTTCATAGTTCCTGGGATTTTAGTTCTGTATGAAACTAAAATATACAAGTATTGTGCTGGGTATTTTGGCACCTAATCTTCCTAAATCTTTTATATATCGTTAAGATTCTGACATGGGGATAGATTTATTAAAGACATAACTCAATACTGCATGATTTCAGGAAAAGTAAATTGGTACAAATGATAAGATTTTAAATGCTGAACAGTAAGAATCTTGCCAAGTGTCAAAATAGGTTGATTATAACCCAAACATAAAGGTTGCAATTCTGTCAAGCTTGTGGCTAGATAAAACTGCTTTTCAACCCTCTTTTGGAAGCTTCATTAGACTTATTCACCAAGCCAACATGTTGGCTAATATATATGACAAATTAGGTCCTATCTCAAGTTCCACTTTCAAGGCAATGGCATCAGGCACCCGTTTTATTGAATGCAACAGTTGTTCCTATGACCAGTGGACTCTTTGAAGCGCAGCCGCATTTTAGGACGATACTTCTCCAGATACAGAAGCTGCTTGCTGTTAAAAGCTCCACGCCGCTTTCTGAGAGAAAAACAAAACATGGAAGTGATTAAAGCAGCAGCCCTCCATTAATAACATTCACTGTGTTATAGGCAGTTATGACTACCCTTGTGGCACTTTATCTTTTGATTATTACACTGTGACCTAATGCAGAAACATGGATAGGCATACATGTGTAAATGGAATGCAAAAAGGAGAAAAGATCTTTATTTCTAGATTTTAATACTATCTTAAAAATGGTCAGATCAGCCGAGACCCGTTTGGCTCAGTGGATAGAGCGTCGGCCTGCGGACTGAAAGGTTCGATTCCGGTCAAGGGCATGTATCTTGGTTGCGGGCACATCCCCAGTGGGGGTGATGCAAGAGGCAGCTGATCAATGATTCTCTCTCATCGATGTTTCTAACTCTCTATCCCTCGCTGTAAAAAATCAATAAAGTATATATTAAAAAAAAATCTTTATTAGATAGGATTTATAATTGGTCAGATCATTTACTAGAAAAAATTTGCTCTCATAGTAATATAATTAAACTCACTCCCATATAATGAAAAAATAAAAAAATCTTATTACTTACTGTCTTATGAACTGTACTGCATCTTCATATTTCATTCCACCTTCGATTAATGCTAGGGCAACAAGCACTGGAGCTCTGATGAGGCAAGAATTTTGATAAATCATTTTCACAAAACCAAGTCTGGGATAATTCAATATTCCAAACACTAGAAGCCTGAGCCGAAATTCTTTCGTGCGGGTTGGGGGAATGGGGTGGGAGAGGAGAAGGTAAGTCCTTCAGCCCAGCTGCACTCTCTCCAACCTGGGACCCCTTGAGGGATGTCCGACTGCCTGGTGAAATCGAGCCTAAATGGGCAGTTGGACATCCCCCTCACAATCCAGGATTGCTAGCTCCCAACTGCTCACCTGTCTGCCCCTAACCACTTCTGCCTGCCAGCTGATCACCCATAACCACTCCCCTGTCCACTCGATTGCCCCTAATTGCACTCCCCTGTCGGCCATCTTTGACCACATGGGGGTGGCCATGTTGTGTATTGGATTGATGGTCAATTTGCTTATTACCTCTTTATTAGATAGGATTCCTCAATACAATACTATTATTCATTACACTTCCTATATAATACCATGTAGTAAATGTTGATTTATGCTAAAAAATTAAGTACCAATATTTTCATATTAAACCTAGATTTTACTTAGAACCAAAAATGAAATATGCCCTTAACTATTACAAATCTAGAAGTTAAAGCTTGTATTATTGGAAAAGAATCTTGGAAATATTTAGGGGAGAACACAAGTCTTGATAACTGCAGACAATTTTATTTTTCTGAGTTCCGAGCCCTAAAAATATTTACCACTTAAAAATTTTGTTTTTAGCCGAAACCAGTATGGCTCAGTGGTAGAGCGTCGATCTGTGGACTGAAGGGTCCCAGGTTCGATTCTAGTCAAGGGCATGTACCTGGGTTGCAGGCACATCCCCAGTAGGGGGTGTGCAAGAGGCAGCTGGTCGATGTTTATCTCTCATCGACGTTTCTAACTCTATCTCTCCCTTCCTCTCTGTAAAAAAATCAATGAAATATATATATTTTTTAAAAAATTGTTTTTAAATGTCATTAACTCCTTTCTAAAGACCTCTAGAAATGTGCTTTCTTGGGTAAGAAGTTATTACTGAATCAGAATCACTAGGATCAAGGACCCTATCAAAAGTACACCATAAGCAAACTACCTTAGAGACAAATTCACAATCCTCTTTCCTGATATTAACAATGACTCCAATAGCTTGGAAATAACCTAGCACACAGGAGCCAAGTACAAATTGTAGCTTTAGCATTTTTTAGTTCCAGCTGTGCTGGAAATACATTATTCTGTTATAATTATCTATTTTTAAATTTATAGTTCAGTAAGTAATTTAACAAGTGACTCCTGAGTTTTTATTGGAGTATCAAGTTTTACTAAAAATAAGACAAATTTCATTAATGAATTTAAGAAATTCTCTTACCTTCCAAGGCCTGCAACACAATGTACAGCAATACAACAACCAGGTTCTTCACGAAACTTAATTTTTACAAGATTTAACCAATCATCAACAATCTGGTTGGATGGTGGTGCACCATCATCAAAAGGCCAATCCTAAGTCAAAAGAAGAAACATTTTAGATTTTTAATATTTTCTAAATTTTCAATACTCAATTGTTTTTAAATACATCCTAATATATTTAAACTTGTGTTTTGAGACTCCAATGTCAATGAAATGTAAATAAATACCAAATCTTTATAAAAATATTTTATTACTCCAAACCCTTGGTTGGCTTCACCTTTATTTTGAAATTAAGATACTGCACAATTTTGTGACAATTTAAATAATTAAGGTTTAAGTCAATGATTTATTTCAATAAACTTTTATAGCACAGTATCATAAATGCATAGAAATTATTAGATACTTACAAGAACTTGGATGCCTTCTTTCTCCACAAGAGTAGTGTCGTAAGTTGCTTCACATACTCTTACTATTGTGGTAACACCATACTTCTTAAGTTCCTGGATAAAACACATAAAAAAAAAAAAATACTCAATAGTCTTTATACCATGTCACTATTGCCACCATTTGCCATTATGAATCTCTCTCCAATAGATATTGAGGGTTACCAAAAAAATCATGAAATAGCATAACCTATGCATATTTAATAGGGAAGTGAGATCTTGTTTTAAAAATGACAATACTAAAATAGCATAAAAGAATAAGGCAATGTTAAACATTACATGCTTTAATAAATTAAAAGTTAAAAAAAATATTCCCAGCCCTAGCCAGGCTGGCTCAGTTGACAGTCAGTTTGAGGACCGAAGCGTTCCTGGTCTGATTCCAGACAAGGGCATGTACCTGGGTTGCAGGCTTGATTCCCTACCCTGGTTGGGCATGTGGGAGGCAACCAACTAATGTGTCATCTCTCTCACATTGATGTTTCTGTCTCCCCCACTCCCTCCCACTCATTAAAAATCAATGGAAAAATATCCTTTGGTGAAGATTAACCATCACAAAAACTCCCAGGTCCTTCATAATGAAGTTTTGTTTATAGTTATGGTGACCCACTGGTTAGTTGGAGATGAAGCACTAGTGAAAGAGAATTAGAAGTGATTCATAAATAAAGGTAAACAGAACTAAAGGAATCTCTTAAGTCCTTAAACTATAGGCTTTAAGATTCATACTGCATTTACTAAAAATCTTGATATAAAAACTATTCTATGATCTGCAAGGCCAAGTTATTGTTTCTGAGCATCTGTGAGCATCTGCATATTATCTGTAAAACACATATACATCCAAATACATCATTCAGCATTACATTCCTTCCTGATAGGCAAAAGAGGCACACATTGAGACACTTTTGGTGACAGCAATCAATAGGAAGCAGAATTGGTAACTGAAAATTGGATTCTACATATCAAATGGGGTCCAAGATACACATTAATTTTGTTTTGTGGTTATATAAACAATCCATGTAAATGGAAACCCTACTCCTATAAATTTCATATAAGCAAGAGCCATACTATTAACACTGTCCACATAAATCTAAAGTAAGCAAACTTCAAGTACATGTTCTTTGAATGTGTAACAATTAGTTGGTCCGAAGGTTGTGGGTTATTGTTAAGCTGAATGTGTAACAATTTACCTTTAACCTAAAGACAACTCTAATATTTCATTTCTGGAACTTTGAACTGTAGGCATATATCTCAGAATTTCCCAAAATATTCTGTTAAACAAAAAGCTCCACTATCAAAACTGTCAAGTTTAAGAAACATTTTTTAAAAAGTATCAATCAAAACTTACCTCTATGAATTTGTTTAAGGTCGCATTGGTTGGATTGTGTGTAATAAGAAATCTCATGTTCTTGTATGTGACTTCCACAGGAGCTGGGCGGTTCATTCGAGCCATGATAATTTAGTTAAAAAACACTCAATAGGGTTATGAAAGAATTTAAAAATCGAATACAGAAACGATGCAAAGAAACTGAGTCTACTTCAATATACTCCACTTGAAATTCTCAGTGCTTTGAGTGACGTTGGGAGTAATGGGAAATGAAATGAACCTCCTAACAAGAAGCAGCAACTCTTCAATCCAGTAATACTGAGGCAATAGAAAGGAAGTGCACTGAGGTTTACCCCATCCAGGTCAGAACTCGTAAAATGCTCTGCAGTTTTCAGTTCAACACTTCTGTGTCCGGGTTAACCACTCATATGGGGGCTTCTTGGTGGAGCAGTAATGAATTTCTACAGTTCACTTGTCTGCATAGAGGTCGTGCTGTGCCTGGCAATAATCTCCACTGCCCTTCAGAAACTCCATAAATGTGTGACCAAGAACACCACAGAACTGCTGTTTAAAAAAGAAAGGGAGAGAGAAAGAGAAAGTTATTTTCCAATTCAAAAGGAACATATTATTCTATTAAAATACTTAAGTACACAAGGAATCTTTTTAAATTTTGGCCCAGACTACTATTTTAACTTTTATTTGAACCACAAAAATACAAGAATAATTACAGGTCTAATCAATAAACAAAAACAAGTATTCACAAATTACTGATCTAATACCCTCCCCTCCCCAAGAATATCACTATCATATCCGGACAATGTCCCTTTTAATATAGTCAGTTGTTTTACATTGTTACAAAATACATGTACAACTTTCCATATTGATTTTTCCAACTAATAAAGTATTTTTACATATTACAAGTTTATGAAAACTTTGAAGCTGTTAGTCTTCCCATAATTTACTTTTCTAAAGACAACCAATATATTTTTGAAAAACAAATAAATTGGTTCTCAACATAATTACATGTAAATTATCTCACTTGATCCTTAATAACCAATTAATTTATCATTTTCTTTTAACAGATTTTCCTCACTTAAGTCTCTGGAAATTACAAAGTTATGTGAAGTATTATAAAATGTATGTTTATAAATGAAAACAAAAAAATTCCCATTTATAACTATAAACAATAATTTCAATAATATTCTTTATCTTAAAATCAAAACTTCATTCATCCAGCTTAAAACAATATCTCATTCAAAAGGGTAGAGAAGCCAAAACCGGTTTTGCTCAGTGAATAGAGCATAGATAGGACTGTGGACTGAAAGGTCCTGGGTTGATTCCCATCAAGGGCATGTACCTTCGTTGTGGATACATCCCCAGTAGGCAGAGTACAGGAGGCAGCTGATAGATGTATCTCTCTCATCGATGTTTCTAATTCTCTCTCTCTTCCTCTCTGTAAAAAAAATAAATAAAATATATTTAAAAGACAAAAACAAAACACAAAAAAACCCAAACGGCTAAAGAAGTGGTAGGTAGTGAAAACCACTCTACATTTTCTTTCATAGGTTTCAAAAGCAAGGGAACTTCCACCACCAATACATAAATTTGTATTTTCCCCAAGTTTCCCCTTTAAGAACTAAATCAGTTTTTCTGTCACTAGAAAACATTACACGAATACACACAAGCTATTCTCAGAATATGTACACAAAAGCATCAATGTCAGATGTTATCTCCTCCCCAGTAGTCTTGTTCCTAAGAAATTTGCTTACTTAGAATAAGAAAAGGAATATTACTAGCAGGTTAACAAGAGCACAGAGTGCCAGCCAGCCACCGCTCCAAAAAGGTTATATTTATTCTCACGGGTTAATGTCAAATAAAATTAAAAGTTGTAACAAGTTTCCATTAATTTTCTAGATTTAAATATAAGCATTTAAAAGTCTTACATTTAAACTATGTGCTCCTATTTTCACTTACATTTTTAAATAGACTCCCATGTTAGTCAATAGTTTCTAGAAAAACTTAACTAAAATTTGAATAACCCACACAGAAACTAGCAGAAAACATTCACAAAAACCAAGGTCGTTTTTCTGCCAAAACAACGGAACAAAGGTCTTTCCGAAAGATAATTTTCATTATTACAAATTTGTTCAAATGAGCCCTTGGAGGTTGTCATTTCACTTGCTAGCTGGGTTAAAAAATTAGTGACCATATTATCACCAAGGATTCTACTCTTACAGTGAACAGACGGCAGTAATAATTCCAAGTCTAACCTCTCATCTCAAATCCTAAATATAACCTTCCTCGAATTAAAAAAACAACACATGATGACATACCCTAAATTAAAGAAGCCGCTTGTAAAGCTGTTAAAGGCAATGAGTCTTTTCAGTATTCTGATTTCCAGGTACTATTTATTCTTTTGCAATTATAAGCCAATTTGTAAGCAGTTTTATCAGCCAGAGGAGAAAACAGTATAGAAATAATTCACTTGGTGAATTTGTTATTTTTTTTTTACAGGGGAGCCAGCCATCGGTTGAAGATGGGTAGGGGGTCGGGGATCGGGGACACCCACCAAAGCAGCAGTGACCACTGACACCTATCCTCTTCCCTTTCCTTCCAACACACCCGCAGCCCTCCCTCATTCCCCCCCCGCAAACGTCCTGTAATAAATAGGCTGCCCAGAAACACCAGCCAATTCCTCCTCTGATTTGAGTTGCATATGAAAACGGGGGGAAAGAGCAATTTCCGAGGCTTACGTCAGATGGCAGAGTCCAGGCAGCTCGATCTGCCTAACAGCTTTGTAAAAACACTCAGCTGGAGTCTGCCCTACACCTACTTGTATTCTAGGTAGCGCATCCAGCACAAGGCCTGTAGGGCAGACAGGCTGCCTACTCTGGGGAAGGATCTAGCTTTCTGGTTTTTTGTTTTTGTTTTGTTTTTTCCCCCCAACTAAAATTCACTCCCCCCCCCCCCCCGCCGCCCTCCAAAAACACCTCACTTTTAAAAAGTTTCAGGGGGGAACATGGTCGCAGCATCTGGATCCCAAGCGGGGCCCGCGGCTCCGAGCACACTCGTGGCCAGTAACTTCCTCCGTGCTCCGGGGAGGAGAGGCCCCGGACGGAAGGCAAACCTTGCAGCCCGGGCTCAGGCCGGCATCTGCAGCCGCGAGCCCACAGAGGGAGGCAGGCCCCACGCTAGCGACCCCGGAGCACAGCAGAGGCCCGCGGAGGGGGCGCCGGCGGGCGCGCGGGCCGGGCAGGGGGAGCGCGCGCAGGGCCCCGCCGGGGCCTCCCCGCGCCCCGGCGCCGCCGCCCTGAGAGTCCCCAAGGCCATCATCGCTCGGCCTGGCCCCCCCAAAACCCAAAAGGACAAGACGCCACTCGTCTCCCTTTACTCCGGAGCCCGGGGCGGGCGTCCAGTCCGGGAGCGGGGACGGAGGGGAAGCCGGCGCCCTCACCTCGTCGTTCCGCTCGGGCCCCCGCGGGGCTGCACGGCCTCCGGACAGTCCGTGCCCCGGGGCCCGCCCGCGGCACCCCCCCCTCTCCGCGCCGCAATCACGGGTTCGCGGGGCGCCCTCGGTCAGTCCGGCGCGGGCGCCGAGGCCATTTTGTGTGGAGGCGCCGGTGCCGGCCGCGGAGCAGAAGGTGGCTGCCCCGGGCTCCTGTGCCGCGCCGGCCCCCCGGGGGCTCCCGGCCGAGGCCGTGTGCTCCTCCCCCGCGCCCGGCCGGCTCTGCTGGCGACCCCGCCGCCGCCGCCGCGCCCTGCCCGCCCGGCTCCGGCTCCGCAGTGACACGCGCGCCCCTCGCCCCACCCCACCCCGCCCCGGGCCACGTCTGCCGGCGCCCCGGGCGGGCCCGGCGTCTCCGCGGCCAAACAAAGGGGCCTCGGGACGCCGCGGGGCCCGGGCCGGGCGCGCAGCGCTGCAGGGCCCAGGGCGGAGGCGGCGGTCACAAAGCGGCTTTTGTGCCGCCCGACCCCGCGGCGCAGGCCGGGCCCCGCCGCCCGCGCCGCCCCGGGCTGCTCGGAAGGACGAGGGAGCCGGTGCCTTCCGCCGCCAACCGCCCCCCTTCCCTCCCTCCCTCCCTCCCTCCCTGCACCGCAGTCCCCGCTGTCCGCCTCCCCCGGCCCCGTCCCACCCGGGGGGGGGGTCACCCATCGACAACGGCGGGGCCCGGGCTCGGAACAAAGGCGACGATGGGGGCCGGAAGGGGGGGATCCGGTCGCGGCGTGCCGGCCCGGGAGGCGGCGGCGGCGGCGCGCCGGGTACTCACAGGAATATGTTTACTCATTGAAGATTGTGGCCTAATCATACAGCCGGTCCCGAGGCGGCGGCGACCCAGACGGCGGCGGAGGAGACGGCGGCAGGGCAGGGGGCGGCAGTGCAGGCGGCGGGGCGGCGGCGGCGGCAGTGCGGGCGGCGGCGGGGGCACCACGCGACCATGCAGGGAACCGCTCCGGGAGAGCGCGCAGCCGAGCCGGTCCGCAGTGCACGGGGCCAATACGCGCGCCGAGGCTCCCGTGCGTCACAGACGCCACCTTTTATAGCCGGCGCGACGTGCGAGGCGCCGGCCGCCAATCACGGCAGCGGGGGGTGGGGGGAGGGCCGGAGCGCGCGCGGCGGGGGGGGGCGGAAGTCCGCCCCCTGCTGACGTCACGGCGCGGCGGCTGCCGCCGGCGTGAACCGGTTGATGAATGGCGAGGCGCCGCTGGGCGCGGGAGGGAGAGCGGGAGGGAGGGAAAAAGGGAGGGAGGGAGGGAGGGAGGGGGTCGTACGTAGTAGGACTCGGGGGGCGGGGGCTCTCGGGGGTGCGGAAGGGGATAGGAAAAGCTTCCGATCGGTGGGTGGGGGGTGGAGGGGGGCCGGAGGGGAGGAGAGGGGGCATCGCGCCGCAAACCCTGGTTCATGTGAAAACCACCGAGGGCGCCACAGGTTACACGGAAGGCATGGAGTTTGCCTCCAACTTAAAATTGCACAATCCCTTTGGGGCTGGAACCGTGTCTCAGCCCGGATCCTGCTGCTGGCGTCCACCCTAAGCCCTAAGCGCGGTCATCTGGTCCAGCGGTGCACCTGGGCACCGGGGCCTCCCTCCCATCATCTCTATGTCGCCTGACCGCGGTGCCCGGTGACT